AAAAAATAAAGCAAAAGAATGTACTAATTTGTGAAACATGTAGTATTTATGGAAACCACTATTCCAGTCTTTAAATACCCATTTAAAACGCATTACAAACCAAGACATCTAGGGAACCATTTTTCATGGTATTTGGGAAATGTTTAAAAGTATTATACATGCACACTAAAAAGGCTCTTTTGAAACTTTTCAATAGGGTAAATATGTGCACACACACTACAGTGTATTTGCAGTAGCCTAGCACTCATTTTTGTTCTCTTATGATCTGCCATGTAAAACATATATTTAATCTTTGTATCACAACACTATATAGAAAATATCTTATAAATAAGAATATTATGAAAAGTAATTGTTGAGTGAGAAGAGCAACCTTTATTTTTATCACCTTTATTTCCAAAATGAAAAAAAAAAGGTATGGATTAGATCCTCTCCAAATTAATGAATTAATTTTCAGGTAGGTGGATTTGTCAGCTGTTGGAAATGGTTGTGTATTGTATCTATCATTTTGAAACAACCAAGCTCCTTGTCTATTTGTATCTGGTACAGAAAAGTGTGTATTGCATTGAAATTGGGCATGACAAGTTTCAGGTTGGAATCTGTTTCCCCAGTAATTAATAAATCCCATCCGGGTATTAGAACGCCTCTTACGTTTTCGGCTGGAGAGTGCAATGTAGCGAAAGTAAAACTAGGCCAGTAAGGCCACTGCAACATATGCAGGGGCAGATTCGTGCTTCTGTAACATACAGTCTTCCACACACTAGTGAGCGACCATCCCAGCTGTGGAAAATGCATGTCTGCCCATGGGCAAAGGCTGGGTTGGAACGCGCAGCGGTCCCCTAAAATCCAACCTCTCTGACAGACAGTCCTTCCAAGCAGCGATTGCTCTGAATAGCTCGTGTGTGACCCGCTGCAGTCTATCGGCTCTTCCTGCTCCGCTCCTTCCTTTCCTCTTGGCTAGAGACATAGGAAGGCAGGGAGGGGAGTTTAAAGAGCTCAGGGCTCCCTCCTCTCACGTCCTATCAAGAGGATCAGAAAGCCCTTGACGTGGCCCGGAGCCGATTGGCCAGCAGCCGATAGGATCTCTGCAGCCAGCAAATTAAGGCGGAGGAAAGTGTGCGACTGATCGCAGTGTCCACCCTTCTGCCCTCTGAGCCACTCCGGGCTCCGGCTCCCACCCGCAGAGAGCAGCCGCCGCAGCCTGAGCCAACTCGCTTCTCTCACACGCAGCGAGCCATCTAACGCAGCGCCCGGGAGATGATGGTGACAGTTTAACCTAATCCTGTCCGGGGCCTTAGATCCGACCCCGCGGGCATTGTGAAATCCTAGGTATTCTCCATACACACAAAGTGTTGGGCCCCCGCAGTGTCTCCTTGCCTCCCCCGGTTCCCCAAGCTCTCCTAAGTTTGGTTCCCGGGCCGAGTAGCTGGCCCTGTGTTCTCTTGGTTGGCTCCGCTGCTTAGTTTTGTAGGATTTTTTTTTTTTGGCTGGAAGCTGGGGATCAATTTAGGACCTTCTTGCTTGGTTTGTGTAGGATTTACTCTGTGATCATGGAGTACACAGCATCCCCCAAACCTCAGCTCTCCTCTAGAGCCAACGCGTTCTCCATTGCTGCGCTCATGTCAAGTGGAAGCTCGAAAGAAAAGGAAAGTGCAGAGAGCACCATCAAACCTCTGGGTAAGTTGTATTCTTGGGCTGTTCCTTTCTCAGCCGCAGGACTGGATCCTGTGTCGTTCCTGCCCAAATGGATCTCTGATCCATTGCAGGAAGCAGGTAGCTAGAGGGGAATGAAGTCAAATGTCTATTGGGAGGGAGGGGCGTTGCGTGTCACTTAATTCTTTGAAAGTCAGAATACAGTGTCGCGAAGCAAACAGATACGGAGCAAAGAAAGTAAAGGAAATTGTTTAAATTGTACGCTGCAGATGTGTGAAGAATCCAGGCTGAGGTTGGTCCATGTTCTGGTTTTCCTTGTGTGTTCTTTTTAGTCTGGTCAAAGAAATACTAACGCATTTCAATATTGTCTGTCCATTTTCCTATATTTTAAGTTGGTTCCTTGTGGCATTGATTACTTTTTTAAGGTGAGGCTTTCTCTCAGAATAACACCAAAACCCAATGCAGCCAATACGGATATCACTGAAAACTGAGGTTTGGAGGGAGTAATAATTGCAAAGCTTGTACATAAAAGGGCAAGTTAACCAATCTGGGATCCAATTTTAGCAAATTATAAAGCTAGATTGCATGATATACACATTCATATTTTCATTTGCATACTTGCATTTAATGTGAGAACATGAGTAATTTTAATAAATAACTAGCACCAGTAAGAGAAATGTATATTTCTGTTTAATTGCGAAATTCTTTAGACTGCTGCACAAATCAAAGAATAACGTTTGTTTCTTCTGTTTTAAGTTCTAATATTTATTTTCCTTACAGAAGCTAAAACCTTATCACAAAGCCATCTTTTTTTTTATTACTGCCGTCATTTTCAGTCGAGGTAGTTTAGAACATTAACCAGTAACCATTTTCTAAATTCCTCCACTTTTAGTTACACTGTTTATTTAACAACCGTTACCATTTATAGAAAACATCAGACTATAAGGCAGAAGGCAGTTACGTTTCTCTCCACTCACGTGAATGATGCAAGAGACATTACTTTAAATTGTTATGTAAATTACCTGTACTTTAAAAAGTACAACAGACAAAACCCGAAAACAATTATTACACTATAATAATAAAAATTATGTACACAGTTCTGAAAGTTTTTGTTTGTTATCCTTCGATTACTTAGCCTATGCACCTTGTGAGAAACAAAAATCAGATTATATATTTTTAGTACATAATCATTTTGAATAGTAAGTCATGGTGAGTTTCAGTAAATGAGTTCACTTAAAACCCTTTAGTGAATCTGATTCAAGACGACCGAGTTGAACGTCCAGACTTTTTATGGCTATACCCAGAAACTCGCTGGAAAATTTACAAAAAAAAAAAAAAAAGACTTTTTCTCCAGAATTGTAGGGTCTACATGAATAGTATTAAACCAAAAATTGGACGGATTCAGCATTGCCAGATCGCTTGATATCTGCTACATCTAATAAAATTATACGCTGCCTGATCTACAAATCTTTCCTGTGTTTTAAGTATTCTTTTTGTTTTCTAATTTTTGGTTTATGATGTGATGTAGGCCGGATACGTTATAAAATGTGTGCTTGACACAGAATCCCATATTTAACTTCGTCTTGGATTATTCACTGCTTTTGTCTATGTCTACTGGAAATACTTCTTCAAGTCATATTCGATTTCTATTCATGTTCCAAAAGAGATTTAAAAAATCACCTAGTACACCAAATATCCTCATTCAATATTTTTATTTTGAGGATTTGGAGGAGAAATCGCTGCTTTGTGATTTTAATGGCGTATTTGTTCAAGTAAAGTTCGTTTGAGTCTGGAGATTCAAATAGTATGACAAGCACATTGCTGTATTTTTGATCCAAGATCATATAAAATGAAACCAGGACAGTGAAGTTCGTTAAAGTCCTAACATAACATGGAAGAGATTATTATTAGAATTGGTTTCGTTCCAGATGACAATTAAGTTAAACTATTAAATGTATTTTACAAAACGTGTACGTTTTTAGTAAGAAAATAATAGTTTGAATTGTTTGTACATACCTTTATCCTAGACAAAACATTATCCATAATTTACTGATGGGCAAAATATCCCAACGCCAGATATAGATTATTTTTAAAACCTCTTTTGAGGACGCCTGTTTCCAAACAACACATGTGCATCGTTTGTTTAATAATCATGTATTCTGGCAAATTTACTGACTGGTTTCAGAATGTGTTAGCTGTATTTTTCTTCTCTTTCCTTTACTGTAAGCGCAGTCGTTTAAATTATTTAAGGCGAAGTGTTTGGTCAACCTTGTTAGGATACCCGCAAAGCTGTAATTATAACAAAGGGGAAGGGGGGAAAGAACACGAATGAATCTCTGTAAGGACTTCAAAATCCCCTCTTACTATGTTGGCTTCTGTTTTATATTTATATCCATGCCGCCCACAAAACATTTTCTACCCACAAAATATCTCCCGCATCACACTCAAGTAGTTTCTTTTTTAAGGGTTATGATAATGGGAACAATTAGAAAACTCTCCTGCATTCAATCACATTGACTTGCGCAGTCTGCCCTTATCAAAACTGGAGCCGAATGCTCCTGTTTTAATGAGAATTAGTCATCTTGTGGTCAGTGGCAAAGTGACCTTTCCACTGAAATCCCCTATTAGCAGGAGATATTGGACAATCAGCTTTCCTGTGTGTTTGAGGTGCCCTCCGCGCAAAGATCTCTGGTCACACGAGGATAGAAAGCCAGTGCAAATATACAGTCAAGTCGCTTCGCCTGTTGATTATTTTCTTTTGAAACTTTTAACTTAATCCGGTTCTGCTGATTCCCTCGGAAGCACCAGGCACCAAGACAGGATACTGGGCTAAATGGACCATTGGTCTGAGCCTGTGTGGCCGCTCTTATGTTCTTCTCTGAACACTCAGTTCTGGAAATGCTTTCTGGGCTCGGGAAGGTTCTGGGCTCACTGTATAGAAATGATCGACATTCTTGAGATTCAGATGTAGGGAAAGCCGGGGTTTCTCTCCTCCGGTCCTTTGTCCGTTTGAGGGAGAAATTTCTCCCCCTCTTGGGAGCTGTGACTTACTCAGCTTCCTATTTTTGCGAACTCTGTCATTTGGGATGTGGGAATGTCCATGATACTGAACGGGCTGCATTTGTTTCGTCCATTGGAAATACTACACCAGAAACAAGTTCATGTTCAGTGTCTCCAGTAGGTAATCCCAGGGACCAAGATCCCCTCCCCCCAGCTAGTTTAAGGGATTCAGCGTCCGGGTGACACCTGAAGAGCAGTCCCTTTAAGAGGGACTCTGAGAATCAGGCCCATTTTAAGGCGTCTCAAGTTACACACCCAAAAATCTTTAGTCACTTTGAAAAGACCTGGCCCCATTCCGTCGTTTAGATTTAGACAGGAGCCCATTGCATTACTGGCTCCTGATGAAGTCCTTGTCTACACGGCTCAGAATCTAAATGCCTTATATTTCAAAGCACTGATCGTTTCTCCTCGTTATCATCTCTCTCTCTCTCAGAACAATTTGTTGAAAAATCCTCCTGCGCTCAGCCCCTGAGTGACTTGTCCAGCCTGGATCCCCACGGGGAGTTCAGCGCCAGCCCTTCCGCCCTCTGCACCGAGCCCCTCATCCCCACCACCCCCATCATCCCCAGCGAGGAAATGGCCAAGATCTCCTGCAGCCTGGAGACCAAAGAACTGTGGGACAAGTTCCACGAGCTGGGCACCGAGATGATCATCACCAAGTCTGGCAGGTAAGGCTGGAGAACAGCATGCGGGGTGAGTGGGGGGCTGGTTTACTCGCCCCTGCTGCCGGTCTGTTACACGGGATTTGTAAAGAAACCCCCAGGGAATTATGCGGCCAGCTGATGTAGGGCTGGGAGGGACTCGCCCTACACCCGGCAAGGTGGAGCGGAGGCAGAGTACCCGCGAGCGCTGGCTCATCAGTGAGCGGCAGGTTGGCCGGGCTCCCCGGGCCAGGCGGATGGGAGCAGCCCGCAGGCGCTGAAGGGCCTTGGGACTCGCTGGGGCTACCAGGCAGCGTCCGGTGTTAAGCGGAGGGGACTGAGTTTGCAAAGCACAAGCTTATTCTTGTCCCGGTGTGCGTCTGAGCTGGGAAGAGAGGCCCCGAGTCCGCGGGATGGGGCGCTCCCCCGGGCCTCTGAGCAATGCCCACATCCGGGGTCATCCTCCCAATTTGCACTGTCTGCACCCAGTGCTAAACTATTGCATGCATTCCCCCCTCCCAACCCGCTACATTGTCTAAAATACTATTTTACATTTGTTTTTAGAATGACAAGTTTGACCCCGAACTCCCAAACGAAACAAGTATTTTTTAAAAATCCCAGTTATTTTAAAATTGTTTGCCCTGGGTTTACTATAGAGTCCCTTAGCGCCCCCTGCAGGTTCTATGCCAACACTATCCCTCTCATACTCAGAGAGAGAGAGGGGGCCAGCTCGTTCTTTGTCACGCAGACACCATGGAGCTTCCTGGAGGGGAAAGCGCCTGGTGCAATCCGCTGACCGATCAACAGCCCATTAGGTGCTGGTGTCACCAGTTTGTGCTGGGGAATGGGTGCTGCAAGTATCCTACCCAGAGCTCCTGGGAAGCGGGTTAGCTGTTGGGAAGGGTGCATCATTCAGTTTCCTCCCACCCACGGATCCCCTTAGTTCTTGTGCAGGAGATTCCCGCCTTTCACTTTGGAGAGGCGTGCTCCCCAAGCCATTAGCATTGAGCACTTGTTGGTTCTGATCCTTTGAGTAGAGGTTGCTCCCAAACATTGGCCCAGATAGACAGGCTCAAAAGCACGGAGAGAGGTACAATGAATTAGATCTTAATAGGCTATTTGTAAATGCAGGAAGGAACTTAAGATGTATTTGGATTATTGTGGAGTCCTTAAAAGCCTGAGCTTCCAATGTCCCGTTTGCAGATTTAAGGAAGATGCTTTCCACTTTGCTTTGTCTCCTTTCCTTTATAGTTTAAGAAGCAACTCCCTCCAGCCCCATCAAAGGCTTCTAGTGATTTCAGTGGGTTTTGGATTTGGGGCCCTACTGATTTAGGGGACATGTCCCTGCTTGGGAAAGTGCCTGTAGACTATGCACATGATAGAGTCTGTTCTGTGGTCGTGCTGATCCTGATCCCATTGAAATTAATTGCATGACTTCCCAATGATTCAGTGGGTAAGTTCAAGCCCTTTGTTGACAGTTGGGCAGGATCTGGTGCAAAAGATGCAGAAATAACAAGAGATAAGCCATAATGGCCATAGACTTCAGTCGAAGCAGAATTGGGCCCTTAATTAGTTGTAAACCAGAGCAACATTAGACAGGTAATCTTTGCGAATGTAGTGTTGTGATGTTATATAGTTTTTAAAAATTGTTACTTAGTGTTATAATTTTGTAGATGCATATTTGTGCACACACAGAGAGAGTCCCGGAGAAATAAATCATAATATACATTTGACAAAGGTGTCCTTTTTAGGTTCACAAATCATGTGCAACTCCCCCATATTTATTTTAAGTTACTCATAAATTTCTCCAGATAAGATAGGTTGGTTTTTAGGTCAGTCAAAAACAGTTTTGAAAATTCACAATTTGTGTAATGTTTGGTAACTATGTAAGTCACTTGGTAGTGGTTTAATTATCTGATTATATGATTTTTGTAAGTATCAAATAGCAATGCATGTTTTGTGTTGCATCATCAGGTGTAACATTTGCAATTTGAAGTGTGCGTTTTTATTACTTAAGCAATTTACTATGCCATTTTTGGTAAATATTGGAGCATTTAGTCTTAAAATTCATTTTTCACCAAAGTTCTTGTAAATAAAGCTCATTTGCTAGAATACTTCTGGAAAACATTAACAGAGTAAAAGAAAATAAGTTCAACGTTTGCAGAAATACTAATGAAAATAGTTTTTGCAGTATTTTCCCAGCTCCAATATATATATGTATATTTATGAAAAAAATCACTGTGTCTATAGGAATGATACTCTGAAATTAGAATAATTATACTTTAACTCCCAGGCAGAAAATATATATCATATAGAAATTTATATTTCCTCCTATTTCAAAAAATTACTCTAATTTCAGGGTATCAGTTCTATGTGTATTTTATAGGGGTACAGATGATTTAAATGCCCGTCAAACTGAAATATAAATACACCTATACCCTGATATAACGTGACCTGATATAACACGAATTTGGATATAACGCGGTAAAGCAGCGCTCCGGGGGGGTGGGGCTGTGCACTCCAGCGGATCAAAGCAAGTTCGATATAACGCGGTAAGATTTTTTGGCTCCCGAGGACAGCGTTATATCGGAGTAGAGATGTATTTTGAAATTTTTCTTTCTTCCTGGTGATTTGAATGTAATTTTTTTTTTTTAAATTTGCAGCAACATTTCAAAAGCTCCTTTTTTCTGCTGCCTCTTCACGTTTATTTTCTAATTTCCCTCTATTTCAGGAGAATGTTTCCTACTATTAGGGTTTCCTTTTCGGGAGTGGATCCTGAGGCCAGGTACATCGTGCTAATGGATATAGTCCCAGTGGACAATAAGAGATATAGATACGCTTACCACAGATCTTCCTGGTTGGTAGCTGGAAAAGCTGACCCTCCGCTTCCTGCAAGGTTTGTTCATTTCATAGCTGATCTCTTTAAAAAAAAATGCTGAAAAAGTACCTTTGAATGATCTTGCAAAGCTGTTTGCAAACAGTGCTCTAAGAGTCTGAGTCTGTGCCCACTGGAGCTGATGGCAACACTCCCATTAATTTCAGTGGTGCACTGTCCGGTCCTGTATCCATACATGAGCCAAATATTTGACTTATGCTAGAGGTTCCAAAGGCAAGCAGGATTTGGCCTGAGGATCAGTTACAGAAAATGGTTCTGACGATCGAAAGAGAGAAGGAAACTTTTAAAAAGACATTTATTTTCCTCTTGTTATGATTTTTTTCCTTTGGGCCTCCTTTTTAAAGCAATCCAGGTGCCTTCAGCTCAATGCCAGTAGAAATATTAAATTACAGCTTTGATACCACTTAAAGTAGACATGCCAGATTATTTTCTAATCACTGACCAATGTTTTCTAATTAATGAGTTTACTACTATACTATACTCATCTCTGATGTCGCCTAGTGTGCATGTATCCAATATAAACGCGCACACACACACGGGTCATTTTTTCAGGAAATTTAGGATTTCTGAAACTTTGGAATAATAAATAAAGTTAAACAAGTTAACCCCTTTTCCACAATGAACAAAACAGACAATTCACTTCTAAAACGATTGCCTCACCGCAAGTGATACAACATGGTTATGAACTCATTGTGGAACATGTATGCAGGCAGGTTGCCACAGCTTCGGTACAGAACTAGCTAGGCTTCAACATTTAGGTCTCAATTTATCAAAACATTTAAGCATGTCCTTAAGTCTGTGCTGAATACGGTTGGAGTTAAGGACATACTTAAGCCCCATCGACTTAAATAAGACTTAAGCAGATGCTTTGGTGATTTTCTGAATTGGAGCGTTTTGGGCTGCAACTCAGGCCAGTGAGAGGTTGTGTTATTGCTTGTCCTGTAACCCTGCGTGTCTTAAAATGAGCTGCTGCTGTAGCTTCCTGTCTGGATGTTCTCCCCCAGCATACAAGCATGCACTGAGTATCTGTGTGATAAGCCCTAGTTCAATAACTCTGACTCCAGCAGCCTGCTTGTTACACCACAGCCACACTCTGGTCTCCACCAGTTTTGGTTACCTCTAAGCCAAGTGATCCCAACATATCCCCAGTCCCGAATTTCCCCCAAACCATCTGCCCTGAAATGTCCTGCCCTCTCCTGGACCACTCAGAGACATAATAAGGTTTGTTTGCGCCCTTAAAGAGTCAATACCCAGCAGCTTGCCACATTAACTGGATTAAGCAACTACTTCACTTCAAACACAGTACTTGGTTAGTTTAGATTAAAATAAAACAAGTTTATTAACAACTTGACATAGGTTAAGTGATCCCAAGTAAAAGAAATAAAGGTAGAGATGGCACAAGCAAATAAAAGTGAAAATGCATCTAAACGTCTAAAAGTTAATGTAGCAAGGTACAGTCTTTGTTTAAGATGGTTTCTCTCACCGATTATTTGTTGTCATGCATGGTTGACTGTCTCTCTCTGTCAGGACCTTTCTCAGAAATATGAGGTGCTGATTTCTCTTGTCTTTTTAGGTGAAAGATAAAGATGGAGTCTCTCTCTTTCCCTTACATTCCCAAAGAATTGTCTTTGTTCTCAAAGTCAGGAAGGCCTTCTGGGGATTCAGTCTCCTGTGTCTGCCTTGGGGGTAGGAGTCATGTCAGTTCTCTGTCTCTTGAGTTCAGGCTCAAGACAACTCCACTGGTTTAGCTTGATAGCTTTGTTTATGGTTAATATGTAAATTGAGGTAAACCAATGTTCCTTCTAGGACAAACCTGTTTATCACCTTTACTTAGGCTAGATTGTCTTTGTCTTAAACATTCTCTAGTAACATTATACAGAGGGAATGCATAACTTCACATGTAAGGTTAACACATGCATTTTACAATGATATTAATGACCAGTGTGTTATTAGTTTTGAAATGATACCTTACAAGGTATATTTTGTACAAACATCATTGCAGCCATGTGTAGAGTCAGAATACAGGGGTGCTTAGGGTCTCAGTCCCAAGCCTGCACTGAGAACCATGCGGTCAGACTGCATGTTCCTGTGTCCACAAGGAACCTCTTTGAAGTCAACGGGGCTCTGCCTGGGCACTGGAGCCCACCTGCAGAGTTCTAAATGCAGAGCCAGAGCCTTGGACGCTATAAAGACAGGCACATTAGAAATACCTAAGATAAGTAGGAAAAAATGGAAGCATTTTCTTGTGTGCAAATATGGGGCCAAATGCAAGCAGTCCTACAGAACGCATGACGTCTCACAGACTGCTGATCTCTGATAGGTAGTTCAGGTTTTGTATAAGTGAAAAAACGTCTATGCTCGGATGACAAAGGTACATCAGATTCAGCAAATTAGCAGTTATGTTTGCTTTCAGGGAAAACAATAATTTACTTCTTCTTTTTCTTTTTCTTCTTTATTAATTAATTTGTATGTGGTAGCATGTAAGGGCTCCAATTTTGCTAGGTGCTGTACAAACACAGACCAAAAAAGATGGTTCCTGCCCCAAAGAGTTTACTGTCAAAATAACATCAATAATAATAATTCAGGAAAGTACACAAATGGCCTTAGGGTGGGGTTCTTAGTTTCTTATTTGTCTGTAAAGCATCCAGTGCATTTTGGATCTCTTTGGATATGCTAATAATCCATATGTAGGTTTTGTAGCTAGGTAATATAGATCATCTCATTAAAAAAATTCAGATTAATATATTATGTGGACATGAAGAGGCTAATCTCGCGCCCATTGAACTTGTACTGACTTTGATGGGACCACGGTCAAGCTCTTTATGATTTTATTATCAATATTGTTTAAAGTTTGTATTGTGGTAGTACTTAGAGGTCCCACTCAGGTACAGGATCTGTATAAACATATAGTAAATGACAGTCCCTGCTTAATTTTCACCATGTTTAACCAAAAGAATATTGATCATAAACCATGGCTATAGATTGTTCTTTTATCTCTTCTGTTAACATTATAATTTGCTGCTTATTCACAGTTTTATTTCATATTGAAAAATATCATCTTTCCTTGTGGGAGAAGGAACATAATATCTGTAAAGGATGGCATGATTTGGGAAGCTCTGGTGTATTTGTGTTACACTGATCTGTTGCTGGTTTTGGAGTGTCAATGATAACATTTTATCAAATAAGGTCTGTTTAAATTTATTGCTGCAAGTAAGTAATTGACAATTGTTTTTTAAAGTGGTGTTTACCCATCTATATCTTTTTTTGATTTCTTGCAGCCTTCTCTTTGCTCTCTTAAATCTCAATAATCTGACTGCAGTGTTGTGAGCTAAAAACTGCTGAATCCCTCGGGTACTTTCTGAGATGCTATGGGGTCTTGTGGGATTTTATGGGGTTTCTAGATAACTGTATACAAACTTTACACAATACTTTGTAGATATGTAGTGGGAATTCCCACAACTTATGTAGGTTTGTCATAAATCTTGGCTGCTGACCACCGAGGTAAACAAATGACCCTTTCTTTTTTATATTTTTGTGCCGGGTGTACATGATATAAAATTATTTTTAAAATCAAGATTTTAATACTGTATTTACACCTAATAAAGTTTTAGGTCCTGATCCTGCTCAAATTGAAATTAAAGGTTAAATTCCTATTGACTTAAATTGGAGTTCAGTTCTGCTCCCAATATCAGGAGTCAGTGGTTATATTTTCACCTAAATGATTTCTAAGATCCTAAGCCAGCAAACACACCTGGGCTTTAACTTTAGTAACATGAGACATATAATTGGGGCTACTCTATGTGCTTAAGTGTTTGCAGGATCAGACAGAACCTATGGCATTAAGATGCTGATCCCTCAAAGATATACATACACACATAACTCTACCAACATGAATAGTCTCAGTGACGTCAATGAGATTATTCACAGGAGTACAGTTATGCACATGTGTAAATTGCTTCAGGATTAGGGCCTTAAGGCTTTTCTTTATTTTACTATAAAAATAACTTTCAACACTAGAACAACAACTGTACTTGAAATTAATAAGTACTATATGATGCCACTGGGAAGATTATCCCTTCATGGATCTTCACTACAAATAACAATTATATCCTTTTCTTCCTGCTGTCAACATTTAAATCAAGTTATGTGACTTGAATAAAAACACTTTTCAGAAAATCCTTGTAAAGCTTTTAAAGTGCTTCCAGGGATAGATTTTTTTTTCTTTCTGTTTTACAAGGTACAGAGAACATTTGAAAGAAATACCAGTCCTAAAAATTCCTGCATCTACCTTTACACTGTACCCTCCCTCTTTCCTCTCCCTTTTTTGCATTGAGAAATGTTTTTGCTTTGGTGACGTGGCTAGCCTAACAAACCCATAATGGTCTGGGGATTGAATATGTAATATTTATGCATTTGTAGCAGACAGTAGCAAAGAAACTTTTTTTATTACATTTTCAAACTAGCAATTTGAGCCCGATTCTGCCAACTTTCTGTCTGTACAAAGTACAAATTAAGTCAGTTAAAAGTCACATGCCTGGAGGGCTTCCAGGATTAGGCCCAATATTAACAAACTGAACAAAAGGAAAATGTAATGAAAGCTAAATACACTATAAGGAACCTAAAGTAGTCAGCTTAAACCTTGACTACTGTTGCAGGCAATATAAAATAACTTACAATAAATCATAAATTTATATCAAAATGTGGCTCCTAAAATCTTTGTAAATGGAACTGAACAACTTCTCATAACAAAGTACTCACTAACTTCCGTGGGAGTACTGTGTATTCCAATGGAATGTCTGTGTTTATTTCTCTAATCTATTTGTTCATGTGTATGCATGTTATCATCAGTTCTCTGTGCACCAGCAGGCCACTATATCTAATTTTGAATCATCCTGTGTCTGGTGTACCAGATCTGGTTATGGGAGAAGTCTATAGATCGGTACAGTTCAAACATGTAGGGCCATAAATTTCTGTACAATGCAAGGCACATGCAAATGTGTAAAGAGAAAATTACCAGTGAGTTAAAATACAAAAAAGTGGCTGAGATCTATGGTGCCACAGGCAAAATCTCTGAAGAAAAATCCCCATGGCCAACAGTGCACATTGATATGTGCAAGCAACCATGGGTAGGATGTGGGGAATGATTTCACTCCGTGACTTTCCCATCAGGGTGACTGTTAGTATTCAACCAATGTATAGCCCCCATAGCTGTGGCAAGAGTTAACTGCGTGCATTTGGTTTAAGGTAACTGTGCCCAGCAGATAAACACAGAATGGTCTCTACTCACTCTCCAAACATACATCTGAAACAGTTTGGCTCTTTGGTCCTAGTTAGTCATATCTTGGTAAGACTGATTCTCTGTGATAATGGTGTGCAGTTTTGCCAAACCCAACCATTCAGAATCATGAGTCAGGCTCCCAAAAATCACGAGACCGGCTTACAAATCATGAGATTAAAAACAATACATTTTGGGTTCTTTTTTATTTACCTTCTGGCTTTTGAGCCAGTAGGGTTCACATTTTTTATCTCTTCTCTATAGCTATGAGGACTAAAGACCTTTTTTTAAAATGAAAGCTGAGATTCTCATGAAATAACATGACTCCAAGAGCTGGGGCTTTAAGATAAACACCATTTATCACAAGTCTCATAATAAAACCATGAGAGTCAACAACACTGAGTATGGTGCACAGTTTTTGCCATCCCACAACCTCTTTCAGATACCAGGGACCTACCACTCAATGGTGTACAGCCAGCACTCTTTTTGGGGCAAAGAAGCATCTAGAGAAGCAATCGTGCATTGAAAGAGATTAGCTGTAATTTCTATTATGGGTCTCAGACCTGGCCCACAGATGTAATGGGAGCATTCCAAGATTGGGCCAAATAAGTCAACTGAAGAGAATGGGCCAGATCCTCAGAAGGTGTTAATCGACATTGACTTAAATGGAATCACTCCAATTTACACCAGCTGAGGATCTGGGACAACTTCCTTTCATTAAAAGTCACAAACAAATAATAGCGTTAAATCATTTTCAGTTATATACAAGTTATATATGCTAGCTGCGTTTAAAGAGCCCAGCACTTGTAATTGTTCTGGTCACAACATAAGCCTCTCACACATCCTCTGTGCTTCCTTTCATCCTGCCAGCTTTCCCAAGTAGCAGCTTGTTAACTACATAGATGCAATGATTTATTTTTTCCATGTCAAACCACTGTATCTGACTGCAGCCTTTATCTTCTTATTAATGTCATCACAACTAATGTGATCCAGTGCAGGTGAAAATAATTACCAAGCTTAATGTTAATGCTAAGAAAAAATACAACTTATCTGGGTTCCCTGACTAGTTCTCTAATTGCAGTATGTCTTTTTCTTTGAGCTGGAGTCATCGTTATTTTAAGCGCTTACTAGTACAGCTGCTGGAAGACATGATCAATTTTTCATTTGGAAAAAAGACATAACAGTGAAATAATGTCTCCATTTTAGATTATTTTTATCCGCTGCTTAGATACAATTAGTTATGCTTATAAAAGAATAATATGCTTAGCGAATGATAAAGTCTTAAAAAAGATGGATTCTTCATTATATTCCAGTGGGTGAAGAACTCAGTTATGTCTTCTATAATTTTTCATTAGTAGTTATGGTATTTCATGGATGCAGCTTAAGGGAATCCTATAACTCTTGCTTTGCAGGTAGATCGGTATGGTCCTAAGATTTGAGAAAATACCTCTTGGTGAGGCCATTGGATATTGTGAAGGCATAAGACTTATTTTAATTTTGTGTGGATACATGTTTCTAAAGTCAGTACCATTTACACAAATCTGACTGTAATACTTCTGTGTTTATTTGTTTGTTTGTTTAGGTTGTATGTGCACCCTGATTCTCCATTTACAGGGGAACAATTATTAAAGCAGATGGTGTCCTTTGAAAAAGTGAAACTGACGAATAATGAACTGGATCAACATGGGCATGTGAGTAGCCTACTCTGTGGTAAGGAGTAAAAAGACAACACAAATTAGCTATGAGTCTGTTACGGTATGACATTAATTGGCACACTTCTTGGCACTCTGATCCCAATGGCAAAAGTGCAAATGGGCTTTGAGACTGACCCACCCTTCCACCTTTACAGGTGGTCCCTTCATGTCAGTGGCAGTGCAACGGCAGAGGCTTGTGGGAAAGTTTGTACTCATTGGTTTGCCCTCTTCTGTAGATAATCAGATGACTTCAGACTCCCTGGCTTGTGAATTCAACACCTTTCATCAGTGTCACATTTACCTTGTGTGGGAAATGTGTGGCATTACCCATTGCAGTCTAAGGCCATAGACAGCTTGTAAAAAAAGAACTATCTTTAGCTTCCATGATTTATCATTTGTATATTAAATTATCAACGTGATGGATGGGGTAATGCCCAGATCATCATAGTGTTCTGATCCCGCTTCCACTGCTATCAAAGGGGCAGAATCCAGACTTAAATGAGGGGCAAATGTCCAGTGTCAAAGAGAAGAGAAAAGGGACACACATGGTTTTGCCTAATATGCTTCCATCTGTCTTTTGCTTTGACTTGCCCCACTGGATAGTGCTCTGATCTCTTAGACACTACCCAGTGCCTTGTCATGTATACTTGCAAATCCCGCTCTGCTGAATTTGGTGTCAGTGCCCTAAGCAATCTACATGGGAGGGGTTCAACAGGGGCATGTCTTTTACTTGCTGACCCAAAGTGGACTGGTCTTGGTGTCAGTACTGTAGTCCTGACACACCAGGAAGGGTTAATCCAACACTGAAACAAAGGATGTAACATTAAAAAGACAAAATTGCTCCAAAGTCAATTGTGTTGAATATAGAAACACTCAACCTTTACATAAATTAAACACAGAGCGTCACAGGATGAATTTGGGACTTTAAGGGGATTAAGTCCCAACTCTGACCTGTGCCAGGTTTTCTTCCTAAGTTAAGAGGCTTGGAAAAGTGAAAGCATGTGGCTGAGAGCAGGTGGTTGGGAGCCTGACCTGGTTGGGGGAGGATCAGCAGTGACTCTCTGCTGAGGAGCCTTTTCATGGGAAGGCTTAAGACCTTGTGAGTTGTCTAACTTGGTGGGAAGAAGTCCTGAGGGAACCCAAGCCTGAAGAGTAGGCTCAGGATGGGAGGGTTTCCTGTACAAGAATTAGACTATGTAAATTAGTGTTAATAAGTGAGGCCCCAGGAAGGGAGAGCTGGTTTTGAACATTAAAACATGGAGGGAGGGGACATGTGAGATATGGACTAAGGAAACTGAGGCATGGGGATACCAGACATTGGAGACCCCCTGCTCCTACAGTGGGTTATTTACTGCTTTTGTAGAGTGTTTGATAAAGCAGGTCGTTGTCTGAATTGTCCAGTAGGAATATTTCCAATATGAATGAGAGTTTTAAGGACAGCAGGGTTGAGCCAAAGCATTTTCATGGGCAATACCTCCTGAAAGCAAAAAAAAAAAAAAAAGAAAAAAGAAAAGAACGGATGCCAAAACACAATTCTTTTCTAAAGAGCTGTAGGTATATTTTTCTTTAAACCGCCCCCCCCTTTTTTCTGGCTAACATGTTTTTGTTTTTTGCTCATGTTCCATAAGAGATCTCTAGAAGCAAAGCCGATTTTTTGTTTTGTTTTGCCATTGACTTCAATGAGCATAGGATCATGCCCTAAGGTCTTGATCCTGCAATGAGATCTGTGTGGCTGAACGTTGTGCATGCATAGAGCACTGACATCAGTGAGGCTCCAGGAGGGTAAAGGGATGCCCTTGTGTGGAATTCACCATAAGAGTGAGGCATTTATTTTCTTAAATGATCTAAGACATTTATATATATATATAATCTGACAATCTATGTGCTGTAACAAATATATTTTTTGTAAATGCAAGGCAGTTCATTTAAAAAAAAATCACTTTCCTGAGCTAATGCTGCAAATGATCACGTTATAGTGAAACCCACTTCTGTGAATACCAGACAAGGGGACAATCCTGCACAAAGAGTACACACTGATGTAGCAAATAGTCCGATAGAATAGCTATGAGAGCTGTTAATGTCATCACCTTGTGAAATTATTAAGGGCCAGATTGTGACTTTCAAAGGAACAGCAACATGTTTGGGAGGGGCGTGGATGTGCCCTCAATTTGGCTTTGTCTCCACTAGCACTTTTGTTGTTAAAACTTTTGTCGGTCAGGTGTGTGAGAAAAACCCCACACAACTGACTGACATAAGTTTCACTACTGCTGCTTGTTGAGGGTGGTTTAATTATGCCACCAGGAGAGCTCTCTCCCATTGGCATAGAGCAGCTACACGGGAGACTTTACAGCAGTACCGCTGTGCTGCTGTAAGGTCTGTAGTGTAGACCCAGCCTTAGTGGAAGTGGCTGCAGCCACTCTACCTGACGAGAGTGAGGCAACGAGAATGCCTCTGGTGGTGCTGGAGACAGCACCTCTGACTGCTTTTTGGAGGTACAGTCTGTGCTCTCCCCTTCATTTGGTTAACTAGAGCATGTAACAGGATAGTCCTGTCCACACCCTCACCCATGCATACCCTTTTTGCAGTGTGTAGTAACATGGCCAGTACTATGACTCCCTCAAATCTTGCATCAAGGAATACAACCACTGGGATCATGACTACCCCCTGCACAGGTGGGTAATCAGAGAAACAAGGCAGAGAACTTTCCTCTTTTCTTGCTCATCTGTGCAGGGAGCCACTAGAGTCTGATCCTAAATCTGCTAGGCACCAATAAACCACAAGATGATGGCATTCTCATAAAGGAAGATCTGACCAAAGACAAAGGACCTGATAATACATCCCTGTTGCATGCAGTACTCCTGTTTACATCCAGTGCCAAACAAGGACTGTAGTACCAGCTCCAAATGTTGTGGGAAGAACATATTGGTCTATGTATTTATTTTAGAACACTCTCCATTTAATTTTTGTGTCCTTTCATATTAGAGTAATTGTCAATATGTAAATACCATCACCAGATACTGTATAGACCAGGGGTGGGCAGCAAACTTTTTGGCCTCAGGGCCGCATCAGGTTTCGTAAATTGTATGGAGGGCTGGTCAGGGGAGGGGGTCGTAATCTGGCCCCCACCTCCTATCTGCCCCCCCCCCCCAGGACCCCTGCCCCATCCACACACCCCGCTCCCTGTCCGCTGACTGCCCCCGAATCTCCGCCATCCCATCCAACCCCTCCTCTCATTCCTGACGGCCCCCCCGGGACCCCTGCCCCATCCAACCTCCCCTTCTCCCTGTCCCCTGACTGCACCCGGAACCTCTGCCCCTGACTGCCCCCTGCTGCCCCATCCAACCCCCCCTCCTTCCTGACTGCCCCCGGGACCCCTGCCCCCATTCAACCCCCTGTTTCCTCCCTGCCCTCTGACCACCACCCCAAACTCCCCTGTCCTCTATCCAACCCCCCCTGTTCCCTGCCCCCTTACCGTGCTGCCTGGAGCACCGGTGGCTGGCGGTGCTACAGCCACGCCGCTCGGCTGGAGCCGGGCCACGCTGCCGCCACCGCCACCACTGCGCAGCACAGAGACCGGGTCAGGCTGGGCTCTGCAGCTGCGCTGCCCCAGGAGCTCACAGCCCTGCCGCCCAGAGCATTGTGCTGGTGGCGGAGTGAGCGAGCTGAGGCTGTGGGGGAGGAGAGGCAGCAGGGGAGGGGCTGGGGGCTAGCCTCCCGGGGCAGGAGCTTGGCGGCCGGGCAGGACGGTCCCACGGGCCGTAGTTTGCCCATCCCTGGTATAGACCTATGAAACAAATTCATTCTATGAAGCCTTTGAAACAGATGATTCTTTGAATTATGGCAATGATATTTTGGAGTTGAGCAGGTTTGATTTTTAGGCCTTCTGAAATGGTACCTTTTGAATTTAAAAAGCTCCTTTTCTCTGACTGGTTCTCTTATTTGGCCTATTAAAATGTTCATTGCATTTGACAAGCCATGTTGGCTCATGAGGGAGTCTTAATGGCCTTAAAATGCCTTAATATATTAGGTTTTTAGATACAAAAGTTGGAATTACGCTAACTCCCGTTTGTTATGGTCACTTGTTCTCTCCATCCTCTGAAAGACACTTTTTGTTGTTAAAGGATGGAGAGTGGTGGGGTGTTCTATTTCTAGAAGGGTTCTTTTTCTGAAACAGAATCCACCTGAAGTGAAGAAATGGACTTTTTTTATTTTAAGCTTAGCATTTGTTTTTCTTCTCTTATTCTGAGACTTCTGGACTTGTATTCTTAGTATGCATAACACAACAGTGATGGCACTATTTATATTCAGTCTATGCACTGGGCAGTAGTCTTATCATTGCATGCATGACATAAAGTTTGTTGCAAGGAAACACACAGTGAAACTCTGTATTTGTATGTATGTCTCTGGATTACGTCTTAGAGCTAAGTGAGTAATTTACAGAAATAATATGTTGAACACTCTTGCCTTTCTTTCTATTTTTGGAACGTTAGTGAACAATTTTTCTCAAAGTTATTTAAAAAAGTTAGTAAAATGTTGTGTACTTTATGGCTTGGTACTTATGCTTCACTGTGATTGGTTACATATTTCACATGGTATTGTTTCTGTACCTTGATTAGACCAGCTCTGAGTATAACTCTTGCATGGCATTTGTGCTAGAGAAAGTTGATTGCATGCGTGTTCACAGAAAATGCACACACAGGGTGTCAACGTGGCTTAACAGTGAAAATCCCAGCTGTAATGATTAAAGTAGCCTATGGGAGTTAGACACTAACTCTCTTCAATGGACAATGAGGGCCTAACTCACTGAAGCTATTTTGAAAATCTCAACCTATAATTGTGAATAAATAGTAGTGGACACTTATTTGCAGTATTCACCCAGATCTAATATCTATGAGCCTTGCCACATTCACTGTTCAACTAGTACATACATGCGTTGACTTGTCTCTGTCTGGCATACACAGAGTAGTATACATGTGCACCTAAGGTATATGCACTTGTGTGGCGGCAGTGGGGAGGGGAGGCATATACAACTACAGACCCAAAGAAGGGGGGGTTTCAATTAAATACATTTGAGAAACACTGACTTACACTATCATTTACATCACTTTTGAACTGGGCGCAGAGTACAGTGTTTCTTTATGGCTGATACACTTCATGAACCAGGTTGATTATGAAAGTTTTGTATGCAAGAAGAGAGAGGGGCACTGAAGTGCACGAACTGGAGGGCTAAGAGTGACACGCAGTTGGGAGTGGACAAAGAAGACTAAAGAGCAGTGAGGTGAGAAATTTTGGAGCAGCATAGGGGATGGAAAGGGAAGTGGGAGAAGGGCAGAGAAGTAGATGAGGTGATGTATTGTGCAGTGTCTTGAAGGTGAGAGCAAGGAGCTTGAAATCAATGCAGAAATAGAGTGCAAGCCAATGAGGTGAGTCAGGAAGAATACTGAAATGGTAAACGTTTGCATACTACACCGAGCACTAAAACGATGTCTCATTCTCATGATGATTGTAACGCACTAAATTCTGCTCTCCATTGTACATGTGCAACCCCACTGAAATCAGAGTACAAGTCAGAGCAGTACTTGGCCCAATGGGAGAAGAAAAAGGTACAATAGGAATCTACTAATGTAACAAAGCTGATGCAAGAGCACAGCTGTAATGCAATATGCAACCTGCATTATTTACTGAGTTATCAAGAAAGACTGCATTTCTCCTGTTGACTTTCAGTTTAATACTTGTCTTTGAATGTAGATTAGCTATTCCAGATGATGTACAGAATATCCTGTGACCTCCTTGCAGCCCTGTGAAATGGAACTACCCAATCCCACTGCCAGTTTAGTCTCAAAACTGTGATTTTTATTTAAAACGAAAAATGGTGCAAATCTAACTCTACATTTCATTTTTATATTCTAGTATTGTGATTAGAGCTGGGCAAATAGAACTTAGTCCGATGCCAACTGAAGTGAATGGGTGTCTTTCCTATGGTTTCAGTGGGCACTGAAGTCAGTTTGTTGGAGGATTAGACAAGAATGGCTTTTTTTCCCACAAGCAAATATTAATGAAGAAAAATGGCAAAATTTGCAACAAATATTGCTTTTGATGTATTACTCCTGGTCCTCCTCTGCTTTTTCATTTCTGTTAGTTTAGCGGTCAGATTTGAGTATATAGGATAAGCTGCTGTAAAAGCCAGGTTTGCACCATAAGGACCTGATTTATTTTCCCAAAGGGGCCACAGGCTGGCATCATTTTGTGTACGCACAACTTTGCAGTTGCCCAGTCCTGTGCGCACACTTTTGAAGCACTCAAACCTGCATAGGCAGTTAATAACTTCAAACACCCTTGCACATAAGTGATAGAATGTGCACGTGTCAAACCTAGCTCCTGAATGAATGAGAGTTACTTCTTGGAGAGAGTGTGCTCAGGAGTTTTGCGCACGCATAAAAGGAGGCCGTTTTCTGAAATTTACGCTCTAATGGCCTGGTTATCAGAAGTGAGCACCCATTGAAGTCAAAAGAAGTGGGAGTGCTCAGCACCTCTGCCAATCAGCCCCTACATATCTACATTTCCGCTGCCATGGTGTAGCCCTGTAACTTTAATGTGCACTGGCTTTTTACAGTCATGTTCTGTTCAATTTGTCTTAATCTTAAACTCAGGACAACCTTTTGTAACTCTTTGCTTCAGATCATTTTGAACTCCATGCACAAGTACCAGCCCAGGGTGCACATCATTAAGAAGAAAGACCACACCGCCTCCTTGCTAAATCTGAAATCTGAAGAGTTCAGGACGTTTATCTTTCCAGAGACAGTTTTTACAGCAGTCACTGCCTACCAGAATCAGTTGGTGAGTGTGATGCTAGATCATTTTTAGAACTCTCATTAACTTGTCTAAAGTTCTCTGCGCTAATAAATTCCTCCTTTTAATTTAGCATAGACGACTCTCTGACGTAAGAGAGCTCTCAAGGACTTTTTTCCCTCTCTTTGGGCCTGATCCTGCTCGCTTTCCATTCAAGAGTAAGCCGTATATACATGTGTAGTTCTAATAACCATAGGTACTGGAACTCCGGGTGTGGGAGGTGCTGCCGCACCCCCTGGCTTGAAGTGGTTTCCATTATATCCAGGGTTTACAGTTTGGTTCAATGGCTCTCAGCACCTCCACTGTACAAACTGTTCCAGCACCCCTGCTAATAACATCAATGGATTCATAGAACAACAGCTACTCATAGAACAATAAGAATTATTCATGAGTAAAGGTTATAGAAACAAACCTTTTAGTTATCTTTATTTCTATGTGTATAAAGCTGTGGCCCATTATTCTTTAGCACTTTTCAAATTAACCATTTCAGTTCACCTTGGGGCTGTTCCAACTTCCAATGATCCAATGAACTCAGGTTTATAACTGAATGCAAAAGAAAATTAGTCATGCAGAATCTTGATAATTCACCAGTAAGAAATTTGTTTAGAAAAGGGCGTTCAGTTGACTTTCTATAGAAATCAGCCAAATTTTAAAAATCCACTTTAAAACTGGAATTTACTTCTGTACAATAGATTGGTGCTTATCATTGACATTTAGATTATGGCCATTTCTAAACAAAACTTCCCTAAGTACATACAATGAATACTGCAAAATTTCTCAATGGAACATCTCTGGAACCCCTAGAGATTGATGCTGTCATTCTATTTATGACTAATGAAAATGGAACATTTTTTCATTTCTGCCATTTCTTTCCTTGCTGTTTTAGGGGGGGGTTGATTACATTTCTGCAGGTTATTAGATAAAAGCTAAATACATTACACTTTCAACAAACTATCTCATATTTTAAGATTTAAAGGGCATACGTTTGTTTAACAGTCAAACCACTACTACAGAGTTGAATTGTAGGTCAAATTTCATTTTTAAATGCTTTCTAGCAGATGTTCTTCTGATTGTTTGTGAGACAGTCTCTGAGGATAAATGTTATTTTTATATGAGACCAGAAATGGTTGTGAGTCTCATGCGGAATGGGTAGATAGGACAAGTTTCACTCGGGGGATGTCATACCAAGTCATTAGTACTAGAGAAATGACAATTTGATTGCCACAAAAATAGGTTTAAGTAGGTTTCCCTCAAGATTCCTGGATTCATAGATTCCAAAGCCAGAAGGGACCACTGTGATTATCAATCTGCCCTTCTGTAGAACACAGGCCATAGAACTTCCCCCATATACTTCCTTGAGCAGATCTTTTAGAAAAACATCCAATCTTGATTTACAAATTGTCAGTGATGGAGAATCCACCGTGATCCTGAGGAAGATGTTCCTCTGGTTGACTTGATTTGCCCAAACCTAAACCATGTGTCAGTGTCAGAAGTAGTGTTTGGGGAAGGGTCCTGTCTCAAATTGGGATAAAAAATCTAAATCTAAAAATTTTTCATGAGCCTGGCTTGGGTTAATTAAAACATTTTGTTTTGATTTTGACCTTTAAAAAAAATATAACCTCCAAAAAGTCAAAATGGGGAATTTTGACAAATTTGAACTTTATTGCAAACCTGTTTTGAATTGGGAAATTTGTTGAGATCAACCCTTTTCTATGCACTGTTTTGTTTTGAAAAATCAGCATTTTCCAAAGGAAAAAAAAAAAGTTTAATCGAACATTCCTAATCAACGCTAGTTATTATCATTTATTTGCATTATGGGAATGCCTAATGGCCCCAACTGAGATTGGGGCCCCATTGTGCTTGAATAACCCATACTAACACACTGTAACTCTTTGTCCTCATAAACACGCATAGTCAGTCCCTGCCCCCAAAAGCTTGAACTCTAAATAGACAAGACAAGGAGTAAGAGAGGAAACAACAGCACAGAGAGGTGAAGTGACTTGCTTTAGGTCACACAGCAAGTCAGTGACAGAAGGTGAAATCCAGACCACACTGACGTCAATGGGAGTTTTGCCATTGCCATCAATGGAGCCAGGATTTCACCCCAGGTCTCCTGACTGCAGTCCGGTGCACTATCTACTAGACTAGGCTGCCTATATATTTGTAGTTCCTAGTTCCCAGACTTGTTGTAGTCAGACCACTAGACCAAACCTTGAATTTGTATAATGTAGATAGCAACCTGAAAAAAAAAATCAGTCCTCCTTTGCTTCCCCTAGTTTTCATAAGCCTTCCCTCCCACTCTTCTGACTTCCTGCCCAGAAGAGCGGTCTCTCAGAATGGAGAGTCAGATTTGACTGTAATCCTCTCTGGTTTCAGATGAGTCACCCAGCACTAAAATATCCTTGCTCTGTGAAACCATGTGACCATTCAGGGAGTTGGAATTGCTTGTTTTAATTTCTGAACTTTCAAGGCCCATTTTTATAAGCAAAGCGGTGACCAATATACCACAGGCCTTTTACGATGGAGGCCAGGATGAAATTGGTGATGATTCTTCAGTGGTGCTAATCTCTGTTTACATAGGAAATTCTGTGTGCCCTGGACTCTCATTGGCTTCAACTCGAGCTGATGGCACTCACAGCTTTGTGAGAGATGCTCAACATTTCCTAGGATCAGGCTTCAAATCCTTACTTCCAGTAGCTTTTAATTCCACCAGGGCAAAGTATATTTGGCAAATCTGAATTTTGTTGCATCCTTCCAAATTTTAAGCACTGAATCTGCCTATTGAAAGCAAAAATACAGATTTGATCAGTTTTATCATAAAACCAATTGAAACCGTTGATGACAATTTTGGGTAGATGGATGCACAAAGAATTCTTTACAATGACTCAGCAGGCAGTACGACAGCGGGGGACAAAATTTACTGGACAGTATAACTCAAATAGTTATACTTGAAGGCAAATCCATCCCTGGTGTAAGCCAAAGCAACTTTATTGGTTTCTCAGGATGACTGCAGTTTTTCCTTTAAAGTCTTGAAGAGCTGGGGATACCTTGGCCAAAAGAGCATCTCTCCTTATTCTTTTCCTACCCCTTATGACACTCTTACACCCATATTTTACATGACTATATAAATATACATGGATTTTCATGTAGCATTGTTGGCAGAAAATGGCATCTGCATCTGCCTGCATAACATCATTGTGCTATAAGAGCAATACATATTTAAAGAGCTCCTAGACAAGTTTTAATCACATTAAATGGCAACAAACACAAATTCTACCTTTTTTCCCCACAGTTGCTTCTGGAACAAAGCCCCTGCCTATTATGTTCTGTTCTTTGCATTTTCTGGTTTCTCTGTCTTCTCTAATAATGCCTATAAGGCCCCTAGGGGTGTTTATGTTCTCTCTATATATATACAGGGTCCGATCCTGAGAGGTGTGGAAGACATTCAGCAGCTCTGAGGATTAAGCCAGGAAGGTTGGGGTTCTCAAAGGAAGCTTTCTTGCACATTCCTTTTGAAAATGAGAGGCTGTCACTGTTTAAGCCAGTAGCTGAATTTGAAGAAGGGGAGAAAGTTTTTGGTTGTAAGACGTCTGATCTCTTAAGACAGTAATTGTTTTAGTAGGGTCACTCTTTTAACTCAACCTTTCCAAATCTGATTTTAACTGTGACGTTTTCCCCCTTCTCTGTACAAAACAGTGCCAGTGTCTCTGTGTGTGGTTTATTAGGGTTGACTTGGACCAGTTGTATTAAAGTCAAAATTGTCGGGGCTGCTTGAGACAATGCTTTAAAAGGCTGTGGGCCCCGCCCCACCAAAGTAGGTTCCAATGCCATTATGGTGTTTACTGCTCATGTATGACCTGCTTTGTCCTGATGGAGATTGTTTTGGCGACAATAGCTTGAGACTCCTTTAGAATCAAAATATTTCCCTCTTTACCATAGCCACATATGGGACACCTCACAGGCTCCCCCTGCTCCTGTTTAAATCTACTATTCCCCTAACTCCCTCCATTAACACACACAACCCTTTTGGACCCATGACCTGGCCCTGCCTTGTCAGCTATCATGACACAGGACTTTAGGACAGATGAAGGAAGCCTGATTTATCCTCACTTCCATCAGTTTTATACTAGTGTAATTCCATTGACTTCAGTGGAGCGACTCCTTTTTTATCCTGGTATGAGAGGAGAATCAAACTGTGAATCTTGAGCTTTGACGCTGGTGGTGCCAATTCAGTGGCTTCACAGAAGCCCCCATATTTGCTCGATCCAGCCCAGAGAGTAGTCATAAAAGAAATGGGAATGTGGATACACATAGTTGTGAGGTCATGAAGATGGATTGGTTAACACTTTGTACACTGCAATACCTTCGTGTCACAGTCCTGTTGTGTTGCTCTTTTCTGTGTTTCCAGATAACCAAGCTGAAAATTGACAGCAACCCTTTTGCTAAAGGATTTCGGGACTCTTCCAGACTCACTGATATCGAGAGGTAATGGGGACTTTCTGTTTACTTTCCATGCAGATAAGATAAAGGGAAGAGAGAGTTTGTAGGAAAAAGCATCCTTTCAACTCCTGAGAAGCTGTGCATTTTAATGTTATCTTGTTGCATATAGTAAGTCTCCTCCACCTCCTTTAAAAATACTTATAAACCTTATGAAGACAGAGCTGTTTTGAGCCTTGACAGCTGCTCCAGTTGAGCCTGATCTATTCCTCTCTCTGATGCTGCTTCTTGAAGGGGTCACTTTTATGGCTTCCATTTTTCTTAAGCTGCAGAATGCAAAGTGTCCTTCTTATCATGCCATTCAGTCCTATTGAAGGTGATGAGCTGGGCCTCCGGGAAATGTGATCTATGGTACTGTTAAAAAAAGAAAAAAGAAAAGCCCTTGTATTATCCATTGTTCCCCATAAGGAAAAAGAAAATGAGTGCTTCCCAAAATATACTGTTAAAACTGCATTAACATTTCTGCCCCTTTGGCTCCTAGCACTTTGTGTACCTTTCATGTGGCCTGTTTTAGAAGTCCCAGATACGGAAGTCAGCAAGTGCTGCTGTCAATACAAATCCATAACCCTCCTTTGATGGCAGAGATACCACTTTTGTTTAATTGAGATTGTACTGCAAGCTTCATTCGGGGGGAGAATGCGTCTGGAGACTGCTATGACGTTTGTGTCTATGAGTTGCCTCTGTAGTCAGTGGATACTTAGCCCTGTCATGTGACGAGGGCATTAACCCAGACCCATGTTGGGTACGAAGGACTAGGAAATAAAGATCAGTTTCTTATCAGTGCTCCTTTAGGTCATGCCTTTGTTAGATAAAGCCATATGTAAACTAAAATTTTGGCAGAAATGGATCAAATTAAGCCACCAGACTCCTTCAGTCTGGAAGAGGATCTTACCGAGAACGGAAGGAGGTGGTTACAGCACTTTCAAAATTTCCTAGAAGCAAGTGATACTGGAAAAAGACTGAGAGAATAAAATCCTCTAGTGTCTACACTCCCATGTGTGGCTGTCCCAGAAGCACTGATGATCTACAGCAGTGTTTCTCAATGACCGGTCCATGGACCGGCGTCGGTCCCTAAGATCTCCCTGACACAGTTTAGGAAGGCAGCAAGCTGGTCCCTGGTATAAAAAGGTAGAGAAACATTGATCTATAGTTCATCCCTGTGTGACCAGGAAGGGGATTGCAAACTGCTATATGAAATCATTACAAAATATCAGGAGTGCTTTGATCCCAGCAAGAATATTACTTGGGGAAAGGCACATTTTTTGTGTAAGAATCTGGCTGTCAGGCAAGACCATTGACTATTAGTTTTATTACATAGGTATGTAACGTAAGTCATGTGACTTTAAACAGTTAGACGGATGAATTAGAGGCTGAATTACGAGTGGTATAATGGATAATTAAAGCAAAGAACAGTTATTGTGATAAATGGTGTTTGCATAACACAGGAAATATTTGCAGGGCTAGTGAAAACTGCTTCCCAAATGAAAGTCTTAGTGAGCAGTGAAAAAACTGAAGTGCATCTAATTAAAAAAGCATACCATGTCATAAAAACAGCACACTAGGGTAAACAAATTGCAGTGACCGGATTTGTTTGAAAAGTGAAAGTAGGAAGAGAAGAGGACTACCACATGATCCCTTTCCAACACTAAATGCAGTCTTCTCAAATAGGGAACACAAAAGGACCCAACAAGCGCACGAGAGAGTAATTCTGAATAGGCTGCCAATAGAAAATGCTTAGGCACCTCCAAGCATATAAAGTGATTGGGACTATAGAGATGAAACTGCTGGCTGTGAAGGGAGTTTTTACAAAGGACATCCTAAAATAACAGCACATGGCATGAAGTCAGAGAAGTGAAGCATAATCCACAGTGCCATTTTGATTATTGAGAAGTGTGAGAACAGAGCCTGAGGCTACGTCTTCACTACCCGCCGATCCGGCGGGTAGCAATCGGTTTATCGGGGATCGACTTACCGCGTCTCATGAGGACGCGGTAAAATCGATCCCTGATCGCTCTGCCGTCGACTCCGGAAATCCACCTCGACAAGAGGCGGCAGCGGAGTCGGCGGCAGCGCGGCAGCGGTCGGCTTTCCCCCGTCCTCACCACCAGGTAAGCCGACCTAAAATACGCAACTTCAGCTACGGTATTCACGTAGCTGAAGTTGCGTATCTTAGGTCGGAACACCGCTGTAGTGTAGACCTAGCCTAAGACAGCCTATCCTGGTCAGGCATGAATGCTGCCATCAAAGATAAGGTATCCAAGTGTAATACCTTGAATACAAGAAATGGAATGTGAAAACCATGAAGCCACAGCAGCTTCCTGATTTTCCTTTAGTCCATGGCTGGCTCACATCTATTTTCAATTAAATGGGAAAGATTCCCTCTTATTAGTGGCCTACTGCATTTTAAAAATTACACTGTTGCACAACACTTCAAGTAGCAAGGTAGTAAAAGTGTGACACACGAGTGTTGATAAGAGGCTTGTTGAGGATTTTTATTTATTCCCTATCCTTATTCTAATGGATCAGAACTGTAAAAGGTTTTTTCTGTTCATAGACATTAAAATACACAAGCATGTTAAAATAGGAAATGTAATGTCTATAAATGTTACTTCTGTAAGCTGCACATCTGCAATCATAGTATAGTATGTTTTTATAATAGCCAATGATAGCACCACCCAAGGCATGGGTAGTCTATTTTTTGTCAAGCTCCAACTTTCTTGGTCAAGGTATAGTCAATGTCCAGACTCCAGGGAAAATAATAATAAAAAAATACTAAGTAAATAAAAAGATTTTGGGGTCTGTTCAAAAGCGCCTGGCGGTCCGGATTTGGCCTGCCTATTGTCTACCCCAGACCAAAGGTGACAGCTAAATAAGACAGACAGAAAGAAAAAGAAATAGGAAAAATAAGATCTAGTGATCCCATGCAATGGATAATAAGGCAGTATAAAATTTTTCATATTTGACACCCATTAAAAGTCATGCATTACAATATTTTAGGTAATAGATTGAATGATGCAATTTGAGTTTTGTTTGGCTATAATAATAAATAGCTTCAACACGACCACCACTTGAAATAAACAATATTGTTATTCTATATCTATGTCCTGGAGAAGAATATGCAAGGCAAATACACATTCACACATCTCTTTCTAGTTGAAAATTTGACTAGATGTTGCAAGGAGATTTTCTGTTCAATGCATGGGCTTCCCAAAGCAGATATGCATGCATGAATAATTTGAAATGTTGCACAGTGATCTTAATGATCTCCAATCTGTGAAGCATCCCATGATGTAAGGGCCAAGAGAGCACTCATTCATCATCAGCTGCAAGTTTTCAGGATGACCTAAGTAGTGTGAAAGTGGACAAAGCTTTGGATTTCATTTCCAGGTATTTAAGTCTGCTTTTTCCTAAACAGCCTGTGGGGAGGGAAACAAATCAGATCAATTGATCTTTAGAGACCTAAAGAAATTAAATTAGTCTGGAGTCAGTTACTGCACTAAACCATCTTGTAATTGGATTGCTCCTTGTTACTGATTGAAAACAGCCCCTATCTGTAACAATATAGAGGGCTTTTCTTTATAGTAGATCTGAGAGAAAAACACATCTTTTTATGACATGATGACAGAAATTGCACTTTTCTAACCTAATTGAATATGATTTTATAAATACGTGACTTTAACGATTTGAAGTTTCCTGTTCCAGATTTACGATCACTATGTAGGAAATCCAAACTGAAAATGCCTTTAGGATTGAATCTGTTTGCATTGTACATATTGAAGTTACAACAATATAAATAAGGACAATGGAGTGTGCAAAATGAAATAGACTTTGGGCACCTCTAACTATTGGAGTTAGTATACTTGCTCTCATTTCTATTCAAATACCTGAGCATAGTCTTCTTCTCCAGATAGCTTTCCATTCATAACTTTTATCTATTAAAAATGTTAGGTGGCTGGGGTATATTTCAAATTTACATTAGGATGTGAGATTCCTTTGTAATCATTAGAAGTGAAAAAAGAGACTCTATTCTCTTTCTACAAATTACTTTTTGTGGTAATCTATCTATGCTTACTCTGGGCAGAATTTATCCAGAGGCACTGTGTCTTAGAAAAGTCACTGACTCACCCACTGATACTGGCCCTTTTTATTTATTTATTTGTCTTCTATACATTTGCTCTGTTGTAGGTTGATTCCTACAGCAGGTGCCTTTAAAAAGTTAAATTTAACAACAATTATCACACTGTGGCATATGACGTACATGGTGTCACACATAATATAACAGACACTGTGGTGTGGTCACTGTTGCTGCATGCCAGGGGTGAAAGTAACTTAACGGACTTACCTGTACGCAGGGTGGCAAGGGTCCTGGGCAAGGTGTGTGGGGGGAGGCTCTGGGTGCCCAGAAGGGGCAGGGCCTCGGGGGGAAGAGGCGGGGCTGGGGCCAGACTCCCCCAGACAGCCCTTCAGTACTGCCTAGCTCACGGTTTCTCAACCAGGGGTCGCCGCTTGTGTAGGGAAAGCCCCTGGGGGGCCGGGCCAGTTTGTTTACCTGCCCCGTCCGCAGGTCCGGCCGATCGCTGCTCCCACTGGCCGCGGATTGTTGCTCCGGGCCAATGGGAGCTGCTGGAAGCGGTGCGGGCCGAGGGACTTACTGGCCGCCACTTCCAGCAGCTCCCATTAGCCCGGAGCAGCGATCCGTGGCCAGTGGGAGCCACGATCGGCCGGACCTGCGGATGGGGCAGGTAAACAAACCGGCTCGGCCTGCCAGGGGGTTTCCCTACACAAGCGGCAACCCCTGGTTGAGAAACCCTGGCCTAGCTCGTGCTGCCTGGGGCTCTGGCGGCAATTTAAAGGGCCCTGGCTCTGTCCGCTGGCACGGTAGCAGTAGCAGTGGCTGGGAGCCTCAGGCCCTTTAAATCACTGTCGGAGCCCCGTGCCCTTTAAATCGCCACTGGAGCCCCGGGGTAGCAGTGGCAGCCAGGAGCCCC